GCCATTGGAAGAGCACTATCCAACTTGCGAATCCTGTCTAGAAGGTAAGATGGCCAAGAGGCCGTTTACGGCAAAGGGGTTAGGAGCCAAGAAGTGCTAGGATTGATTTATTCTGATTTGTGTGGTCCTATGTCGATCCAGGCTAGAGGAGGTTTTGAGTACTATGTGTCTTTCATAGATGATTACTCGAGATTTGGGTACGTTTATCTGTTGCACCGCAGGTCCGAATGCTTTCAGAAATTCAAGGAGTATCGGGCAGTTGTGGAGAAGCTTCATGGTAAAAGTATCAGGTCACTTCATTCTGATCGAGGTGGCGAATACCTCTTTGGAGAGTTCAGGACATACTTATCGGAAGCTAGGATTGAATCCCAACTGACTGCACCCGGCACGCCCCAATAGAACGGGGTTGCAGAGCGAAGAAATAGGACTCTTATGGAGATGGTTAGGTCTATGATGAGTTATTCGAGGTTACCAAATTCATTCTGGGGTTTGGCATTGGAAATAGCATCGTATATTCTGAACATGGTTCCAACGAAGTCAGTTGACACTACTCCTTATGAGATGTGGAAAGGGCGCAAGCCTAGTTTCTCGCAGTTTCGAGTTTGGGGTAGTCCTGTACACGTGTTAGTGCAGAAACCTGGCAAGTTGGAGAAACGTTCGGAAGCACGAGATTTCGTAGGCTATCCCAAGGGAACGAAAGGTGGATTATTTTATAGTCCTAAGGATCAGAAGGTGATTGTTTAGACGAACGCTAGATTCTTGGAAGAAGACTATATTATGAATCATAAGCCCGCGAGTAGATTAGTCTTAGAGGAGTTAAGGGGTGAAGTCGATGGTTCCCCACCGAGTGCGCAAGTAGATACATCACATAATACTGCAACACGGCACACTGAGAGTGTACTAGTGCAGACAGTGCCTCGTCGTTGTGGGAGGGTTTCTCATTTACCCGACCAATGGATAGGTCTTGGAGAGTCATCAGACTCTGTTCCAGGAGGCCTAGAATCGGACCCCAAGAACTTACGATGAGGCACTCCAAGATAAAGATGCAGATTCATAGAATGTTGCAATGAAAGCTGAAATGGGGTCAGTGGACTCCAATCAGGCCTGAGATCTTGTAGAACCACCCGATGGGGTACGACCCATTGGATGTAAGTGGATATATAAGAGAAAGAGAGGATCGAATGGGAAGGTGCAAACCTTCAAAGCTAGGCTTGTTGCGAAAGGTTATACCCAGATCGAGGGTATTGATTATGATGAGACCTTTTCGCCAGTAGCTATGCTTAAGTCTATTCGGATTCTCTTGGCTGTAGTTGCTCATATGGACTATGAGGTCTGACAGATGGATGTTATGACAACTTTCCTTAATGGTAACCTGCAGGAAGACATCTATATGCAGCAACCAGAGGGATTCATTGCTGAAGGTCGTGAGCATCTAGTGTGTAAGCTTAATCGGTCTACTTATGGACTGAAGCAAGCTTCGAGATCTTGGAACATCCGTTTTGATGAGGTGATCCAGTCGTATGGGTTCCCTCAATGTCCGGATGAGTACTGTGTTTACAAGAAAATCAGTGGGAGTGTGGTGGTGTTTCTTGTGCTTTACGTAGATGACATACTGCTTATTGGAAACAGTAAGAAGGAGTTGTCAGACGTAAAGGTGTGGTTGTCTAAGCAGTTTGATATGAAGGACTTAGGTGAAGCAGGACACATTCTTGGTATTAGGCTCATTAAAGACCGTAAGAAGAGAATGTTGTGCTTATCCCAATCTTCATACATAGATACTGTCTTGGCCAGATTCAACATGCAGGATTCCAAGAAAGGTATGTTACCTTTTAGACATGGAATACCTCTATCTAAGGAGATGTCTCCTAAGACGTCTAAGGAGATAGAGGAGATGAAGATAGTTCCTTATGCTTCGGTAGTAGGAAGTCTCATGTATGCAATGATGTGCACTAAGCCGGATATTAGCTACGCCGTTGGCATGGTAGCTAGCTATCAAAGTAATTCGGGACGGGAACATTGGTCTACGGTGAAGCATATACTCAAGTACCTGAGAAGGACTAAGGAGAACATGTTAGTTTACCGTGCAGACAACTTGTTACCTCTGGGTTACATTGATTCCAATTTCCAGTCAGATAGGGAAGAAAGTAAGTCAACCTCAGATTATGTGTTTACCTTGGGAAGTGGAGCCATTTCATAGAGGAGTGCTAAGCAGAAATACGTGGCAGACTCCACCATGGAAGTCGAGTACATAGCAGCCTCAGAGGCAGCGAAAGAGGCAGTTTGGCTCAGGAACTTCTTAGTGGACTTAGAGGTTATACCGAGTTTGCCATGTGGTATCACCGTGTACTGTGATAATAGTGGAGCAGTAGCGAACTCAAAAGAACCTCGAGCCCACAGGGCAAGCAAACACATAAAGCGCAAATACCATATGATTCGGGATATTGTTGGTAGAGGAGACGTTGATGTTGCCAAGATTGCGTCAGAGGACAACCTAGCTGATCCTTTCACGAAGAGTTTGCCGGGGAAGGTCTTCATCAAACACGTGAAAGGAATGAGAGTCATGAGCATGGCAATAGGATCGACATAGGTCTTTTAGAATAACGGATTGATAGGACTATACTGTAAAAGCGAAAGCTTTAAGTATAAGTGGGAGATTGTTAATGTTATATACTGAAAGCTTGGCTTTGCATGTTATTACACATTTGCCCTTTATGAATGAGAATCGTGTTAGATTAAACAAGTTCTACATTCTGTTTTTCTGCTTAGATAGGGTGGGTCGTCATCGGGCAAACCGAAAATCACCCTATCAGTCACTTGCGAACAAGAATAGTTGTTCACAACCTAGATGGACATGAACACCCCATCCGAACGGTTGTAGTGTCAACTGTACAGTTTATCTTGACTGATTAGTTGCACTAGTACATTTATGTATTGAACAGGATCCCAGAGAGGAGAAGTTCATTTTATACTGATCGTCGTAAATGAACTAGACCTCGGTTAATTACTGCGTTCTCTTAAACTGTAAGATATTAAACAGGCAGGTATATATAATATATATTACTTTGATTCACATGGGTGAGGTTCAGTTTGCTGGATTAATATTCCTACTGTTTTGGGTAATATTATTATATATAGGATGTGCTGTTAGGATATTTACGGTCACCATGTGCGTTAATTTGATGATGTCCCTAGAGTGAGTTCATGAAAGATTGGTATGCTAAACCCCGCAGGTGGATTAAGTTCCGACATAATAAGAATGTGATGAACGAGCGCTAGTTTCGGTGAAATAATAATAAATTAATTAATTCGTGATTGTCAGTAATCGAATTAATTAATGGACATTATATCTTAAACGTGGGGATGTAAATCGAGTAATTATTATTAGAGTCTCAAATGTAATTTAGGCTAGGAAAAGGGAGTGCAATAATATAATGTTGGTGGTCCATTAATATTATTTAATTAATTAGAGGAGTGGACTTGACCCACAGTTAGTCTAATTAATTAAGGAGCCATTTTCCTAATCTCCTAAGGGACCCTAATGTAGCTCTATATATACATCATTAAGCTCATGAGAAGAGAAAAAAATTTCTATTCTAACGTGAGACACGCCCCACGCCTGTCTCTCTCTCTCTAGCTCATTCGAGCTTTATCTTCTTCTTGTTGCTCCACTGGTACAAGTTGAAGAAGGGTGTATTGAGTAATACAGTAGAAGATCCGTAGGTAAACCAAGACGAAACATATTCTGTCCTATAGAACTAACCGGAGGTCCGATTGAGACGCACAACATACCCAGACGACCGTCTCCAAGAGAGCTTTTCATCACCGCCGAGATAACCGCCATCCGACGCCGCACGCGCCTTCACGCGCCACCGGAAGCTCCCATACTGCAAGTTTCGTTTTGATCTATTTGCATTCGTTTGATCCGGTTTTGATCTAATCTTGTTCGTGCAACCCAAGACGTGATTTGCGGTCAACCATTTGCAGTCAACCGTTCGTGGTCAACCAGACCTACATAAATTTTAAGCCGTAAGTTCTCTACGTGAAACCTTTAGATCTGCTGCGCATAGGTTTACGTTTTCTATTGAATTCGTGACTTGTGCATAACGAGATCCTCACAGATTCCAATACCAACACCACTGACCGAAGAATGAACGTGGTCTGGACCCAACACCAGAGTACCG